GCAGTAACCACAGACTCAGACAACAGTGCAGTGTCGTTGTTAATGGCACAAAATAAAATAAATGCACTTCTTAATATTATAAATCTGTCACTCAACAAGGCATACTTGCTGGAATGTATTAATCAGGTAAAACAGATTTTTTCCCCTGTTTTTTTAGAGAAGGACTAACCCGAATTCTATGGAGTCTGTGTGGATACCTCACTCCCCAGCAAGTGACCTGTCTTTTAAACAGGTAAAAATGTATTGATCCCCAGCTTTGCTGGTTTAATAACATTAATCAGATCATCTTTTACTTAGTGTAAGAGTTTTTTTGTATCATCTAAACCCAAGGATGGTGTGAACTAATTGACTAGGGCTTTGGAAAACACAAAATTCACAACATTTGGGCAGTCCTGCTCTGCAAATGGTCTTTTTTAAAACCTTAGGATTCTACAAGGAATCATTGCAGTGTGTACTGTTGTGTTCTTTACAATTTCAGAAAATAAATGTAGCACAGAGACTCTTTTCAGCTGAAGCATTATTAGTTTCACTGCACAGTGAAGTGTAAAATTAAGTTGTGTGGTGGTACTAGCACAGTTATGTCTTTCAAAATCAGCAAAAGTAAGGCTGCAATCCTTTTTGAGCTGCTGTATATTAAAAATGGCAAATTTGTCTTTATCGCTTTGCCGGGATGTTTGAAGATCACGTGGCCAGTAGACTTCAGATACGTTTAGTGAATTATTTTCATTTATAATGCACCTTTTATCCCCAAGGGTATCAAAGCACTTCGTGCAAACAGTAGTAGGGAATCCACTTGCAGGCCCCACCATGGTGAGACAGCCGACCCACTGCACAATCGATCAGTACGAATGAAGAAACTGCTTCAACTGTTGAATTAAGGGGGATCTCCAGGGAGGCCAGATACAATCCGAGAGTGGAATATTGCCAGGACACCAGGTTTAACTCCCCCTGGGCTTGCAAACAGTGCTGTGAGATCTTCACATATCTTGTCCAAAGGGTGATGACTCCTTCAGCTCAGTATCCCTGGTCCCCATACTGGGCCTGGCTGTATAGAGAGAAGGGTGCCACCTACTGGTCCACCAGCATTCCTTGCAGCGTCAGCCTGGTTCTCCTTGGCCTGGCCAGCCCTGCTCAGCTTCAGAGAGCTGGTGAGATCTGCAGCAGTGGGCTGGTGATTCTGCTACCTTCCACTACCAGATAGGAGCAAATAGAAAATAGCCTGTTCTAAGCCCCCCTCCCATTTGTTTAAAGAGATAGATACTGTATTTATCCCGTGAGGGAAATTGAAATTGGTGATGAAATTTACACCCAAAAAAAACGTTCATAATGGCTTCCCAAGTAACGCTATTAGTCTTGTTGGACGATGGGAACAGATTTTCACACAAAGCTGGTAATTAGGGATTGTGGTGTCTGTTTGCCAGGCTTCCCTTTCAGCGACTGTCAGGAAGGTATCAGGCCATAGTTACTTGGAAATAGCTTTGATTGTTCCCCTGTGCTTTTCATCTTGATGGGTATCCAAATGCTAACACACAAAAAGGCTTCTCGGATAACCCCGGCCCTCGAGCGTCTCGGCTGACTCGAGCGTTGGGCCTAGATGAAGGAAATGCGCGAGGCGGAAAATAAAGGCCTTTCAGGGGGGAATCAAATATTTATCCCGACTGGCTCCAGTTCCCCATCTGCGGGGCGCTGCCTGGGTGTCGTGTTGCCTGTCAGGCACTTCGCCTCTGCAGACGTGGGGGTGGAATGGGTAACGTGGGCGCACATTCAGCGGTGCTCCCGCCCGCTCTGGAGGGCTCTGCTGCAGGCCTGAGGCCCATGCTGCTGCCTCTGTAGCGCCCGCCCGTATAAACGGGTCCAGATACAAGCTGCTCTGGGTCACAGGGTCGTCGCAGTTATCGCGTTTCTTGCCTTTGAGCTGTGGGATTGCCCAGATTTCTCTGCTTTCTTTTGCTCAGGTTTCTGTTTTCAATGCCCTGATTAGCGTGATTTTTTATTTACGAGTTGTTATGGTTAAAAGCTCTTTTGAACACATTAGTAATTAAATCAACTTGTGGTCTAGATTATTGACAAATAAACCTCCACACCTGAAGAAGGCTCCACGGCTGAAATGTTGTGTTTTCTTTCTTCTCTTTTCAGTATGGAATAAACGTATTACTTGTTCCAAATAAACCTGATGCTACTTAAAAGAAAATTGAAATCTACAAGTGAACATATTGATATTTTTACATAATGTTACTGCACCGTATGTGATCATGACAGGAATAACCAAAAGATGATTTGATGTGTGCAGTGTGTGCCTGAATTATAATAACCAAACTAGGAGTTTGGTCCAAAACTTGGGTTTTTTTCTTCCATTAAATAAAATTGGACTTTAAACTTTTTAACTGTTTGCATAAAGCAATTTTCAATTCTACTCATACTTCCTACACCAGAGAGAAGTCATCTGTCATGAATTTTAATTTTAATTATGTCACAAGGCTCATGTTTCTCAGGGCCCATTATGTGAACTCATGTTTGCAAAGACTTTTTTTAGAGTTCGTGCCAGATTTAGTGCACCTGGCATGCAATGGCTATAAAACAGCTTTTGTTTTTTTTTTGCTGACAGGTGTACAAACCTTAATTCCTTACCACAATATATGAGTAATGTCATGTACAAAGTGATGATTTCAGCTGATCTTGCCCTTTTAATCACCATCAGCATGTCGGTTTAAGAGCTTCCTCAAGACGCATCCTTGAGAGCAGGGATTTGCACTATGTTTTGTTAATTCATTCCAGAAACAACAGCCAGTTGTTATTAAGAGCAGTGGCAGGAGGAGGGGTAATGACAGTAACACCAGATAAGGTAGTAGTTTTGTTGTTAGCATTGACATTTATTCTCATGCATATCTGGGGCGGAGCTGTGGCTGGAAGGTTGCCGGTTTGTATCCCGCGGCCGGCAGAGGAATCCTACTCCGTTGGGCCCCTGAGCAAGGCCCTTCACCCCAACTGCTCCAGGAGCGGCGTATAAATGGCTGACCCTGCGCTCTGATCCCCAGCTTCTCTCCCTGTCTGTGTGTCACATGGAGAGCAAGTTGGGGTATGCGAAAAGACAAATTCCTAATGCAAGAAATTGTGTATGGCCAATAAAGTGATCTTACCTTATATGCAATATTTCTCTGGAAGCTCAAAGTACATAATGATCTTCAAGAGGAAGCCTCATGCGCTTTGACATTCAGTCGGCCAGTGTTTTTTAAACAAAGTCTATTTGTGCTACAGTCTTGCAGTTCCATTCCTGCGTGGTGTCTGTTCATTCACATTATAAAATGCTGATTAGTTTACATCGCATTAAGAAGCAGTTGCGTCAGCACTTTCAGCTAAAGACAACGGTGAGGGGAAGGAATTCTGAACATCAATCCGTTCAAAGTTTTATGGGTAAACAACGAGAGTAATTATATAGCAGTAATAACAGCTCATGTAAAATGTTTTCAACATATAAGAAGCACCTGTTTCATAATTATGGCTCTTTGAATCCTGGCAACAACAAATAGCCTTGAGAAAACTTCCTGAGTAAGCACATCTGAATTCTTCAGAGGGCCTGCATGCTGTGGCTTTAAGTGGGTCAGTCAAGGAAATTGCCTCTCAGTTTGCATGCTTTGGATTTGCGTTGGCATTGTCTGAAATGCTTCATGTTGACTGTGCAGATTTTCTTTGTCTCCCACATTTTAAAAGACTCTCAGATACCAGATTTGAAATTCCAAGTGATACAGTATATAAAAAACCATTAAAAAGCATTACGATTCCTGTGAACACTGTCTGGATTGATCCTCAGTAACTGCAGGAAGGTGACTGATCTGGTTAACATCAGACAATCAGTCACCCTGGCCTAAGTACACAGATGATTGCCCAAGGGTCTCAGCCTAGCATGTGGCAATTGTTGGTCATTGATTTTTTTTATTCATCTGTAGACATACTCTTTCGGATTCTTCTGAACTATTAAGAGCAGACATTAAAACCTTTTAATATTTAAACTGTTGTTTTCTGTTTTGTACTTTCTAGCTGTTTCACATGGTTCTTTTCTCCTGTATGTTGTTTTCTAAGGCTTGGACTGGCAGGACACACCTCCATTTCTTTTGAAGACTTCGCTGCTTGTTTCCCACTGAGGAAGGTGAGTTTGCAAAGAAACAAGTAAAGGTTTATTCTCTGCTGAAAGGAGAAGAAAAGAAACACAACGTTTCTGCTGTGGAGCCTGTTTTTGGTGTTAAAACAGCCGAAGAAGAAGGCTCCACAGCCGAAACGTTGTGTTTTTCTTCTCTTTTCAGCAGGGAATAAACCTTTACTTGTTTCTTTGCTTTAAGCCAAGGCACCAACATTCCAGATTTCACAGATTCGTCTTTCATGACAGACAAGATTAATTCTCTGTTCCCCACTCTGCCTCTGATGAGTAATTGGCCAGACTGCTTTGTGCACCTGGGCATGGTTTTGTGCTGCAGGTGGAAATGCAAACAATACAGTTCTCTGCAGGTGCACAAAGCCTTTGTCTACAGGATGACAACAGAATGGAAAGTCATGAATGTATCATAGACTAGATGAAGATTTTATCAACAAATTATTTTTATTATAAACAGATTATAACAATGAAGTAGTTCCAATAGGGAGCTGCAAAGGAACAAGTAAAGGTTTATTCCATCTGAAAAGAGAAGAAAAGAAACACAACGTTTCGGCCGTGGAGCCTTCAGAATACTGTAGTTCCAAGCAAGAGGTTGCTATCTGACCCTACCGACTCTTTTGGTTCTTAGTAGGTAGTTAATCCAGGGACGTCATCCAGCTGTTTCTTAAAAGGATACTGTATGGTATTGTCATGGTACTTGCTCATGGTTAAAGATAAAAGGGTAAGTGCTTGTAAAGGTTTGAATTTCCATCATCTACTTGATTTATGACATGTTTTATGACATACAATTTAAAATTTATTTCATTATACATTTATGCAAATACATATATGTATAAAAACTGCAGAAAGTGCAGAAATAACAGGGTTGTCCATCCTCATATACCTGTACAGAGAAGTGTTGCCATGTCAGAACTGAAAATTTGTCATTTGGAGTATTAAACGTAGATTTTGTAGTTGATGAAGTCTGGATGTGTTAGCATTGGTATTTTCATAAAAATTTCAGCAACAGAAAATGATTTGAAATTGAGATATGCACAGTGGCCAGCATTGCTGCCTCGCAGAACTGGGGCCTCTGCTTCAATTCTGGACTGGGGAGCTGTCTGTGTGGAGTTTGCATGTTCTCCCCATGTTTACATGGGTTTCCTCCAGGTGCTCCTGTTTCCTCCCAGAGACCAAAGGCATGCTGGAAGACTAATGGACTTTATAACGAAAGTTCAGGAGGGATGACGACAACCAAGTTCAATCAAACTCACCCATCAATAATTAGCAATCGCTCCTGACAATCCATTCCTCTCCCAAAACGCTATAAATACCTAGGAGATCCCTGTCTCTCTCTTTTGCATGAGCCTCGCTGTCTCCACGGATCACAGATATACATCTAGGAATATAATTCATTTTCTTCTCAAAGATATACTTAACGTATCCTGCGCTCCCAGTAGACTTCCGCCTTTCCCGACAAGGTTATCAGCAACGCCACACTCCAGTCCGGCGCAAACCCTGAGCTGCCCATGCAGCCGACCTGCTGAGCCTGCCCTTGCGTCCATAGACCCGCGCTCTGGATTTTTAAAAAATGCTGCTTATTTCGCATTCGCTACCCACACTACTAACGTTAGTCCCATTCATTCTCTATGCGTGGACCACGCTTCCAGACACGAGCAGGGAAGAGAAAAGCAAACATGCAATTTCCCCCAGCTTCCCACAGACCTGTTTAATTGTAAGGCAAAAAAAAAAAGATTTGAACTTCGGAGAGAGTAATAAATAACCACAGCAGGACGGAACCTGTGAGCCCCCCACTGCAATCCCCCGACCAGCCGGTCTGCAATCTCCCTGCGCTTCTTTCAGCGGTCTGTATTTGTTTTCCTTATCATCCTGCCTAATCTCACTCCTCCGAATCTCAAGTCCCTCTGTTCTTCCTCCATGTCTTTTTAATCTCGCTCTTCTCCTGCGCATTTACCTGCGTCTTGTGTCCCTGTCGCCAGCACACAGGTGCAGGTAAGTCCTACTGTACTTCTTGTGTCCCTGACTCATTCGTGTCTCTGTCCCCGGCATCCCATTCGGCCCCGGGTTCTTTCCTCTTGTTCTGCGCTGCAACTGATGCCAGCTTCTCCGCTCCAGTTCTGCTCTCGCTCCACATTCTCAGCCACACCTGCTTCTGGGTCACTCCAGCGTCTTCTCGGTTACAGCACTACATGGCCGAGCCATAATCAGTAAAACAATTAGCTGCCTTGAGAGGGGCATCCATCTGGGCCGGGACCCCCAGAGGCTCATTTTTAGAATCCAAGCCTCTAGTCCCTTATACTTAACTCTGCCTCAGATACCAGGAGGTTACACGTCAGCAGGTTTACACGCCTCAGCGTTTCCTCTGATCCGGCCACTCCGTTTGCCCAGGGGACTCTCATCAAATTCAATGGTTATAGAAGGCCGAAACGATGCCGTTTACCTACGTCCCTCATTCTAATCACCGTCTGAATAAAGAGAAGGAGTCTCCGATTTCCATTGCTACTTTTGGGGGGACACAATTGGAAACTCGGGCCCTTATCCAGTCAGATAACACCGGCATTTATAATCAATTTAATAATACCAGTGACTTCCTTTCACGTTTAAAGTTCTCACAAACCCGGAGCTATTGCAGACGTTCATTCCAACTCAAGGCTGCCTTCTTGCTGCTCATGTGTATTTATTTGAATAAGCTTGCCCAGGTCTCCGGAAGTCTTCCTTCCTTTCATAGAGTAACCCTGAACAAACTCTCTCCCAAGCTGTTATTTGACCTCTGCGATGACCCACAGTTCACACCATGAATTCTTCTCGCCTCCTCCATGCTTTCATAACTCTGCATTGGTGGTTTGGGGTCCCGCTTGGCTCTTTTGGGGGGTCCTGGCCTCCTTGTCTTCTGGCCAGGAGGTCGGCCCTCAGCCGAGTGGGTTAATAAATCCTTTCATGGCGCTTCAATCTTGGGTGTTGTCATTCCCAGTGAAGCTGATTTCTGGAAAACCGGGTCCTGGTGTGAGTGTGTGCGTGTTTGTGTCCGCCCTGCAGTGGACTGATGTTTCAACCAGTGTGTATCCTGACTCGCGCCCAGTGCTTGCTGGGATTGGCTCCGTCTCCCCCACGACCCTGTGCAGTTAGAAGATGGAGGAGTGGATATGTTTATTTTACAACGATCACACTTCTAGTTTCTGACAGTCACCCACGAATCTGAAGTGCTTTGTACTTTAATAAAACATATTATGAAACATCAAAATCACTTTTACCATCAAAACCTGTAAAACAAGTAGCACTGTATTAAGAAGCAGGGCACGAGGCTAAAACACGTAAAGAAAATGAGTTACTCTGATTGTAATTGTAATAGGATCTACTGAGATGAGATTGGCTAAACATTAACGAAGCAGAGATCCAGTATGATCTGTAGCTGTTGGCTGCGGGGGTTTCACCCCTGACTGTAGGTGCTCAACGTGGATTCTTGCTGTGGCACATTCAAGGCACTGGTGTCTGAGTGGAGCAAGAACCTAAGATGGCTTGCAGATCATGTGTAAAAGTAATGTACATTGTGACTGTATCCTGGGATATACTGTACCTGGAGCAAACTGTAATTACTAATACGGGTAAATGCATTTGCATATGAACTGTAGTTATTTTGGTGAAAATTGTGAATCTCGCTGGTATTCAACTGTATGTATAATAATGAAAAATACAAATAAGCGTGCAGTTCACTGGCTTCCAAGGGCTTGATTGATATTTAAGGATTGCTTTCCTCTCTCTCTTTGTCAGGACATTCTCAGGACTCATACAGTACATTAATTGTCAGCCAGTTACTGTAGGTCCTCAGACAGCTGAATTGTGAACACACACACCCACCTCTGACAAGCTACATAGTTTTGAATGAATAAAACTACAAGAATTAAAATCATCTAGCCAGCGTTCTTAATTTCTTTCCTGGCTCACACATAGCCAGGTCCATCATGGTGTATCATCACAACACTCCTTCACATCACACTGACACTTGGATCTCTTCTGGAGCTCTGTTCAATGATATGGCGGGATTTGACTCGTAGGAAAGAGTAACTTTTCTTCACTCCAGCCTTAATATCAGTCATAGGAAAGTAAGATATTTACAGAATGTTTTTACAATGGTGTTGTTTTTTAAAGTGGGAGAAAAAGCTCAAAATGCTTATTTTATCCGATTTCATATCCACTGTTTGTGTTCTCATTTTGCATCTAAATTTTCAACAGAGTGTCAAAAAATACTTTCACCCCTTTGAAGAAAACGTTTTTCTTCATAATGCATGAGTTGCCAAGGTTACATCGCGGACAGTATTCTGAGTGATGTAATTATTTTGTCTGAGATGAATATTTTCCTGCTTTCCTCATGTTCTGCACCTGCAGTGTTATTTCTGGACAAGGTCCCTCTCGAGAAGGTAATGTAGCAAAGATAATAGAAAGGAAGTTTGAGTGAAAAATTGCTCCATAAACTACGTTTTTATGGTGATGAATGGTGGTTTCAGTATTACACACGTTTCAATAATGCAGAAAGAAAGTGTTTTGCTTCAGCCCCTTTTGGGTTGAGGAACCTATCACCACCAGTTAATAGATAATTAGATAATAATTTATCATTATCCCATAATACTGCTTTTTACATTTTGAGTCTATAAGTGTATTTTGATATCTTCCTTGGAGGCATGGGTATTCATTGATAGCAGATAAGATTGATTTATTAGTGATTTCATAATGTCAGCTCTGTAAAAATAGAAATTAAGAACTTCATTTTATTATATTAATGTTTGTTCTTCACATGCCTAGAGATAATGGTTTAGCTCATACTACTAGCAGTACGTAGATTAAAAGTTATAGTGCTATTGTGAAAAGAGGCAGTTTGTGCCTAAATTCTAATTCCGATAATGCAACTGCGATGAAGAAAGAGCATCTATTGGCCTGTTTGACCCACTCGTTCTGGGGTGACTGCCAGGCCCTGTGCACTTTGCCATGAGACTGAGCCCCTGTGGCAGACCAGTGGGCTGCTGCACAAGCAGTTGCACTGGGGATAGTGGAGGGGTGTGGGTGTGACACACACGGGGGAATAATGGCACAGAGGCCCCATATTTATACCCTATAGATCTGACAACTGGTGGGAATTGGAGTTTGTACTTTTCCCAAACTCCCACTACAGTATGAACTGTCATGGAGTTTAGATGCTGAGCCTCCAGCGAACTCCAAACGTCAGTCTCAGGTGGCCAGGTGGGACCATTGGAAACGTTTCTGCCACCAAGAGTCCATTGATGAAGGAAATGACAGACTCTAACCAGAATTTAGCACCAGCGGAACAGAAAAATAAAAATGGGAAATCTGTAAGAAATTGCAGCTTCACCTTAGCAGAAAAAAAAGCGGAGATGTTGGGCGTCCTTTTCAGTATCAGTGAAGTGTAGCCCCTTGTGGCAGACAAAATTATTTAAAAAAACACAGCCAACGCCCAGCACATCCTGCAGTTTGTGAGGTAGTATGATTTCCAGGTAAATCAGGCCATCTGCCACAAATCCCCAAATTCACTGCATTCCTCTACAGCTGTTCATTGAGCAATTGCATGGTCTGGGCATGTAGCAAGAATGAATCTAGATGATCCTGAACTTGGAGCTGTGAGGTGGCGTTATCCCAGCACCACTTCGAAGGCTAGATGTAAGGACAACATACAGTATACAGTATGCCCAACTCAGCTCTGGTAGCGTGGTCATTAGTGGGGTCATTATGAATGACTGTTCCACCAGTGTAACAAACACACAAACTGTGCACTAAAACCTTTTTTGACTTAACTTTTCCCTGAAATTTCACCCTGTTGCCAACAGCTTCCTGTTAATGGAATCATTAAAGAAAACGCGTACTGCATTGTGCAGATAGGCACTCTTGTGAGCAAAACTTAAATAATGTGTGTCTATTCAATTCAATTCAATTCAACTTTATTGTCATTAAACTTACACAGCTGCATAGTATAGTGAAAAGTGTTTCTCATTAGTCACTCAGGTGCAGTATATAAATAGGACAGAAGATAAGACAATAGCAATAACAGTAACATGTAATAACATAACATAAATAACATGTAATCAAGTAATCAAAACTGTGCAAAATTCTGCAAACAGAGAAAATTTAACAGGACAAAAACAGTGCAAGGTAATTCTTGGAACAGTGCAAAAAAAATAGTATGGTTAAAAGTAGTATGGTTAATTAATAAATATTAAATATTATTATGCCTGTCACAATTTTACTGGGCTATCGAGGGGACAGTACAATTTTGGCTTACATGTGTGTGTGGTGGTGGAGGAGTACAGTGGTTGTGGGTACAGGAGGATGTTAGGAGAGATCATAATAAGGTGGAAGGGAGTGGGGGCGTCACCAACTTGACAGCTCTGGGGAAGAAGCTATTTTGGAGTCTAGTTGTGTGCGACTGGAGTGACTGGAACCTTCTGCCAGATGGTAGGGGAATAAACAAGTTATGACTGGGGTGAGTGGGGTCAGACATAATTTATAATTTATAATGTATATATATATTTATTTTGTTTTAGAAACAGCAGAATGAATGGTTCAGTCCTACTACAGCAAAACCTCCTGGTTATGTGCAGACGGAGAGGAAACCTGGTGACTCACATGCTGAGAAAATGACCAGCCAGGATTCGGAAAGGATTTGGGCTTTGATTAAAGAGAGAGTCCATAACAGGTAAGTCTGCAGTCCTATGGGTCAGATGTGTAACATTAATCCCTTCTTAGGCCCTCAGAGTATCCATTTATTTATTAACTGATTGAAACTTCAATGTAGCACTGCTGTTAAAATATAACAAAGCACATCTTATAGAATTTTATATGTCTAGTACAATAGTAGCAGAGGGTTTATGGACAAAACTGTTGGAAGATAAAAAAAAATCCTTCAGGAGTGTCTCAGGTTTGTTCAGTCCTAAATATATAAAGGTTTTACTCAGATATAAATAACTAGAATGTTCAGTAGTTTGTTTAGATCCTGACAAATCCGAAAGGAGGACACATGTGCAAGTGGTTTTTGATGTGACTCGCCTAGCTGAAAGAATGGCTGACCCAACCCCACTTCCCCCAGTGTTCATGAGGAATGAGTCAGGGAGCTGCTACAAGGCTGTAGATGGGTGCAGTAGAAAAGGATAACAAAAGAAAATGAGAGGGAAGTCCAGAAGGAGAGAGATTCAGTACAGTATATGTATATACAGCACGAGAGATGAAGGCTGATGAACCTTAAATTGGTAAGGCAACACTCTGCAAGTTGTCCTAAGGAAG